TTCATTTACTATTAATTGTAATACGCAGAGGTGAGATTCAGGGACTCGCTTCATCAGTAATAACCAACATGAAACTCAGGCCTACCGATAGAAGCCTAATTGGTCAGAAAGTAGACTTTAGAGTTAGCAAAGATCAATTTGAAATGTTGATTGGGTTAAGATCCGGTGGCCTTCCCGCATCACCGAAAAGCAAAAAATGGATGGATAAGGTGGATCTATCAGTCGCGTTACGGGACGTATTGATAAACGAAGGAATAGAAAATAATGGCGTAAAACCAGAAAAATTCCGCAAGCTTTTTACTCTAGGGGTGCACACATTCAGTAAGTTAATTTTTTTTTCGGTATATTCTCAATATATAACCCAACCTAATTGATTTCAGATTATAATTATAATATATACGGATTGGATTGGAAAACAAGAGGTGTTTGGCGCTTAGGTTTGCTTCAAAAGGTTAAGCTACCTTTGTCAATTGATAATTTGCAAATTATAGAAAAACTTATTGTATCCTTGATGCGTATCGAGGTAAAGTATCGTTGTTTACTCGGTGATTCCATTTTTATGTTGGTAAGGCTCTAATTGTCCTTCGTTTTTTGATATAGAAAACTTTGCATTGTATACGAAAAATCCGTAATGAAATATTAACCGAAAAGGCAAAATTATATCGTTTCCGACGAACATCAACATGTGTCATGGATTATTCGATTTGTGAACACGGTCGCATAACTCGCACAAGAAAGGTCAAGGAACAAGTTTGATTTACGAATTTTGTCATGAAATTTATTAGCTTTAAAACACCATTCAATAGCTTTAGATGTATAAGCGAGTGTAACAAATAAATCCGCTTACGTGACAATGAAATATGGTGCAGTTACCGAAATTTAAAAATGACTTCCAATTTGAGCATAATAACGACATTCGGGGTATTCCATTCCAACCTTGTGAGAGAATCATCTACTGGCCAACCAGTGTTATGAAACCGGTGCTGACTTTCTTGGACCTCCAATGCGATTTGATATTTTTGAAAGAAGACATCAAATTCCAAAAAGGGAGGACGATGCTCAATTATCGACTTTTTATTACATTCTATTCCAATTTCGTAATTCTAGCTTTAATTAAGCTCAGTTCTTTCAACGGCAAAATCTACCTGATGTTTCTCTAATGCTTCAATTCCGGTTAGAAGATCATTGTCTGCATCTTCAAGTTTAGAATTTTTTTCACATATATAATCAATTCTAGATTGGTTATCCGCCATTGTTATTTATTTAAGCTACAGTCACATTCAACTCTTATCTGTTTAAGAATTCACCTATCACCTTGCAAAGAAAAATTCACGAACATATATGCATGTCATCGATAGTAATACTGTATATCAGGACAAAAAATAAATTTTCTTTATTGTTAAAAATAAAATATATAAGCATGCAGTGCCAGGTACAAATCGCAATAAAAATACAGATTTTTGGTATACGTCTTTTAATTTCATGTTCATCGCACATTGTAATCCTATCCCTTAATAACCCCACGATCACTCCAATTACTGTTTTGACTCTCTTCCTTCAATGCTGTTTTTGGACAAATTAATTCGGTTTACTGGTGCAATACAACCCTTCTATAGCAAATTTGATAAAATGCCATTCCGTCAATGTAAGAGAAAAAAAATCGTATAGAAACGCTAATAAAGATATTTATACCTGTAGAGACTATCCCATGCCTGCTCTGCGGTTCGTTTTATTCTTATGGCTCGCGCTTTCTAATTATTTTATATTTTGGAAGTAACCAATTTTGACATTACGTGGCTTTCCTTCAGCTATAGTCAACACGTCCGGATGATTCCTCATTAGAAACCGCTTTTTGATATGGTATGTAGATTTTTTTTCGTTGGTTGTTCGTCAGACGATAGACAGGAATGTGTTTAATATATATGTAATGAATACACTTCGTTGGCGCCAGTTTGTATTGTTTCCATATTCATAAGCCTTATTGTCATTCCATAAGCATTCACAAAGTGGTTATATACCTGGAAAATTTTTCTGGGTTGAATTACTTGATCTTCGTAATATCCTCACCGTTAACTTTACATTTGCAAAGTACATCTTTTAACTCGTCCAGCGTTTTTTACGACGAGGAGCTTCGTATTTTCTGCTCTCGAGATCCTCAATAAATTTCACTGATGTCATAGCCGTTCCATATTCTTTTTTACGAAAAATTGTGAAATCTGCCTCTGAGACCCAAATCTTCCTAACTTCACAAAAAAAATCGTGGGAAGGTAAGGGACCGACTTTGGACGATCCTACTTATTTATATCGATTCACTCAATC